TTTTTTTTTCAAATTAAATAACGTACTGAGCTGCTAGTTCGGGATAAAGTACTCCTTAAGCTATTTAAAAAAAAAAAAAGTCTCATCAATTAAAAGAAATCATTCTTATCTGGAGAAGGACATCGGTAACACATCAAAGGGTGGATTGAAGTAGCATATTGACTAGTTGAAGTGTTAACACGTTCAGAGGAATAAGACCTTTGAGTTTGACAAATACATAATAATATACTGATGCAACTTGAATTAGTTATAATTATTAACATAATTTGAATATTGTAATGAATAATTGAATAAGTTAAATAATTGAATAAGTTTAGGATGGTTGATGTGATACAACTCTTTATGAAGCCTAATCATTCATTAGTGCAGAATTGGCCTTTAACATCACCTACTAGATGTTGGATTACAAAATAATTAACGTAAATTATTGATCGGTGACATTTTCATAAATAAGTTGGACATATAGACATCTGTTAGGAGGGACTCCGACGTCTATAATATTATAGATGTCGGGGCCCTTCTAACAGACGTCTATAAGTCTGCGAGGTAGATGAAAAGTTCTTTTTTTCCGTCTTATAGACGTTTGATCCCGCCATCCCGACGTCTATATACGCTTATGGACGTCGGTGCCCCTCCTAACAGACGTGTATATGTCTGACAGGTAGATGAAAAGTTCATTTTTTCCGCTATATAGACGTCGGATACCGTCATCCGACGTCTAAATAGCTTGACAAGGTAGGTGAAAAGTTGTTTTGGACGTCATATTAGTGAGGGCCCCGACGTCTAGGCGAGAATAGACGTCGGTTCCCTAGGTGTCCGACGTCTTGTTTGTTGTTAAATCAGAAATCGAACCCGCGGTTACGCGCACTTCATCGTCTTTCTTCTCGCCTTTTCTCTCCACGACATTGCATTTCCAGGTGCGCTTTTGTCTCTTTTGAACAGTTTAAACATACTTTTACTCCGATTAAATTAGTCTTTGATTGATTATCTTCCATTTGAACCGATTAAAATGAGTTTTGTTGTGTTTTGGTGCAGTTTTTCTCGTGTCTTTGGGTAGCGTAGTAGCACATTCTCCCTTTGCTAGTTTCCTCGTAAGAAAAGTTTGCGTCTTTTGGATGTCTTATAGCGTTTCAACCCAAAACCGAACCTGGGTCCTTGCCTAGTTCTCAAGTCACCGTATTCGTTTTCATTGCCGGTTGGAATGGAACTAGACAAGGACCCAGATTCGGTTTTCGGTTGAAATGCCATAAGAGGTCCAAAGGACAAACCTTTTCTATGACAAAACGAGCAAAGGAAGAAGGTGCTACTATGCTATCCAAAGACACGAGCTGCAGTAGATGTCGGTTAATGCCATGTCCGATGTCTATAGAACCCTTAGACGTCGGTTAATGCATGTCCGACGTTTATAAAGACGTCGAACCTGTGTAGTCCGATGTTTGATTAACGTCACCCACAAAGACGTTGGGTCTGGATCTAACGTTAAAAGGCCAAAATAACATATGTTAAATATTCTTTCTGCACTAATGATTCATTATGTGATAAATTTATTCTCTTTTATTTATGTAGATATATATGTATCAGGGTTAATAATTTTAAAAGACATTTATTATCTCTAAAGAAAATAATATATCCACCACTTTTTTTTTTCTGGGAATTTTATTTTTTCTTAAAAAGAAAATTGAGAGCATAAGGAAGTGGGAAGTTATTCTAAGATGTCAATGATAACAAACACAAGTTGGAAAAACTAAAGAAAATTTGTGTTGTCTTATCTATAAGTCAAAGGATGTATTATTAACTTTACGCCATATAAAAAGTTGTACTATAGTTTAAAAAATAACCAACTGTGTAAGAAAATTAAATAAAAACTAATGTTAAAATAGGTTAATTAGAGATAAAATGATTTTATAATATATAAAGAGTCCATATTTTATTTTAAAAGTTTGTTTTATAGAGTTGCATTAGATATAATATTTATTTCTTAACCTTCCTACTATTAGAATCATGTTTAAAAACCAATCTTTATAAGATTTATTATTGGTTGGATATATGGATTCACTTGTTATTAAATCGCTACATGTCTGATCATATCTGGATGTGAAAAAAATATATTAAAAATGTTATATTGATTTTAGTAGAAATAAGACAATTTTATATTATATATATAGGCAGATATATAAAAAGCTACCAAAACTTTAGAAAAAAATCTCAATTAATTATATCAGTGCAATTCTATTTATAAAAGTAGAAATTACATTACTTTTTTTAATTTATTTGATTTTTGTGATGTAAATATATTATTATGAAAATATATAGTGGAGATGGTAGGACAGGATGAAAGGAATGCTTTATAAGTTTTTGAATATGTTGAAGAGTATTGAGAAAATAAAAAAGAAAAGTTGAAAATAATGGAGAGAGACAAAGCATGGACACAGCATACCCACATAAACATAAACATGAACATAAACATAAACATAAATATAAATATAAATATATATATATATATATATATATATAAATATATATATATAATATATATATATATATATATATATATATATATTCAAAATATATATTCAGAAGACAACTATGGCAGACACGAGCAAACATTTGTATGGGTATTGTAGGGACCGTCTATTGTGGAAAAGAGGAAAAAGAGTGGTGAGCCCATAATATATATAACCTAATTTAAAGTGCTTGCTCTCAACAAATCACTTATATATATTGCTGTTGAATAATTGTACTCTGTTCCTATAAGGTTAAGTGTAATCAAACTAGAGTTGTGTGTGACTCAAAAATATGGCAGCAAACTAAGAGACGAGAAAGAACTATATATTCTAAATTTTAAATATCCATTGGAACTTATTTTTTAACAACAGAATTATAATATTTCTTTTCACTGACTTGTCGATTGAAAAATATGAAGAAGGAAAAAATTATTCACAATAACAATTTTATTTTGAAAATTTTCATCTTTTTTTATTATATTATTTGTTAGATAGTTCAAAAAAAGTGATACCTTATTATTATATACTGATCAATGTGATTGTATGTATTTATTTGTTATTTACGACTTGTAATTTTAATTCTTACATTAATGTATTTTTCACATTATAAATATTTATGTTTTATTTAATTATTATTTTTTTATTTTCTTGCTATGTCTATTTTCATTAGAGCTTCTCAATTTTAAAAAAAAATATTTTATTACTTATTATATTATTATTTTGAAATACTTTTTCTATAATGTGCTATTAAAGTGAACAAAAAATTAAAAGTAAATGGTTTGAGATTTGAACCTAATTGTATAATTATAATTAGGTGGTCGCAAGTCAAATATTTAAGTTAAAGAATTTATTTAAGTAAATAACTGAGGATGTGTCTTTTTTTTTAATACAATATAAACACCAAATATTCTTCCATTTTTATTATTGATGATTTGTCTCTTTTATACTAATTTATTTCACGAACATTTATTTTTATTGGGATTTTTTATAAATATTTTAATATTTTAATAACATTTTTATTTATATCACTTAAAATTTGGAAGATTACTTAAATTTGAACAAACATAAAATCTGAAGGATTACTTAAATAGTTTATAGAATTTGAACATTTATGTAAGAGTCTAAGTATTACTTAATTGTGAAAATATTTTTTAATAAAATTTATTTTCATTTAATTACAATTATAATTTTATTTTGAAAGACAATCAGAGCATCTCCTGGTCAAACCCAGATTATATGTTCAAAACCTTGGTCTATGAAAATTTTAATAAATATATATAACTCTTTTTGTATTAAAAAAAAATCTTTTGTAAAAAACATTAAATATAATAATCAATACTTTTATATTAACACGTAATAATTACAATTAAATAGTATAACTAATTGAAGACATATAAAATAAATTATAAATTAATTGGTGTTAAGGCGTGCATTGAAGATTGCCTTGTAATGTTAACTTCATTTATAAGCTGTTCATAGTTTTACAAACAAATCATTGGTACAGTTAGAGCTCGGCGGAATCTTATACATAAGTAGTTGAAAGTAAATACCTCATTAATACACCTATAACACACAAAAAAAAGTAGCTTTTTAATAATTAATTGTCTTTTTTTTTTGAAATTTTAATAAGAAACTTAAATAAAAGGTTAATATTGAATTTAGTTTTAAAAGAACATAGTTTTTTTGGTAAAATAAGATGAAATGAATAGGTTTTTATCTAAATCACTTCTTAGTAAATAAGTTTCCAAGAATTTATACATGAAAGTTTGAACACAAAAGTATTGAAATAAGTTTAAAACAAGTTATACTAGTTACAGTATTTTCACAAATTTAAGTACACTTTCAAGAACAATTGCTGCAGAAATTCCACATCAAATTAAAAACAACCCAATATTTAAAAAAGAGCAAAACAAATATTTTTATATCAATAAATTTTCATCTGTAAGTAAATGTCGATATTTATTCTGTATATATATATATATATATTAACATTAATATTAAAAGTAGATAATAAATAGTCAGCATGTTGTCAACTTAATATTTCTTTTCTTACATTTCATTATATATGTCCGTAACCATACATAAACGTTAAACTTTATTTTAAAAGGTAGGGACAATGATGATTATAAATTAAAGAATATTTTAGAGCTTGCACATATAATAGTTAGATTTTGTTCTTTTTAGTACAAAAAGACAACAACAAAAAACTAAAAGAGCAATAGTTAATGCCCATAAAGTATTAAATGAAATTCATTAAATAAAAAAAAAAGAATTCCAATGTATTAAGAATTTTAATTCTATGGATTCATAATTTTATGCTAATTTGGACAAAATTCAAGTAAATATTATAAAGATGTTTTGTGTTAATTTTCAATAGAAAAAAACTAACATTTAATTTTAGTTATTTATATTAAACACCAACTAATTATACTTTGTTAATAAGAAAATATAAGCATAGAAATATATATGATAAAATATTGAAGCGATGTTCTTCTTTATTCTTAAACAGATGTAGTCGTTAACAGGTAATCTCCACTAAATTTATTCTCCAAGATTCCATCTATTTTTTGGTGATTGAGAAAAGGTTAATAAGAAGATGACAAAGGAGCCTAATTAGCTTAATAAATGATTGTGCTAACATGGTTAAAAGTAAATTTCAAAGCAGGGTGGATCGCTTTATCTTCTCTCCATCTTATCGTCTCTTCCTTGCAAGATTAATCCTTGTAAACAAAGGAGGAGGAAGACCAGAGGAAGAGCAAAAGATGGAGAAGAGAACAATAGAGTAATATTCCAATAACAGAAGTTCATAAGTTCAATATTTTCTTTCACAGGAATCAATGTCTATTGTATCAGCAATCAAGACTTAATTGCAAGCACCAATGGAAGCAAGAAGCAAGAAGAAAAGGTAATTTGATACACAAACTCTTCAATATATATATCTATATATATTGTGTTTCTCTATTTTTTTGGTTTCTGACTGTGGGTGGTAGGAATGGAGGAGAAGAACGAGAAAGAACTCACTCATGAATCACAGAGCGAGACACAGGTTGGTCTGGTTCAGTTGACTCCGTGCAGTACTTCCTTCTTGTGAAAGTTCCTGTGGCAGCCACAAGCCGCACATGTAAGCGAAGCAGTCGTTCCCTCACCGGCACTAGCCATGAATTCCCTGCAACCATCCACTGCGTAACCTCCGGTGTTGGCTGCATGATTCTTCTGGCACTCCCCGTATCGAATATTCCCCACCGCAGAAGAAGCGGCGTATTCTCTCTTCACCACCACCTGCCTCTTTTTCATCCTGGCAAAACCCTAACCGCCGCTTGATTCCGCACACCACAGAGCAGAAAAGTAAGTAGGGGATCGACACAAGAGAAAACGGGATTGATATAGAGATAGATGTGTATATATAATATAATAATATAGCGCCCTAGGTAGCTGTGTCTATATACAATTAATATATAGTTGGTGGGTAACCCTAACCCTAGCGTGTAGATTTATAAATGGCAGAGAAGTAGGGGCGAGGGGGCTATAGGTAGGATGAAGAGATGGAAAATGTGATCATAAGTGATGATAAATAGAGCAGAAAGTTTTTGATGGTCTAAATAAAATAAATTTTGAAGAGGACAGGCAAAAAAGGAGTAGTGAAAGCATTAATGATTATTGGTGTATGAGCCAATGAAGGAAGAACACATCATGAAGAGGGAGCGGTGGTTGTTTTAATTGGCTACAAAGCAAGAGAAAGGTTCAAGTGTTTATGTTTATTGCACGAAGATCAGCTGTTTGTTTTGGAGGTGGCGCCCTCTGATTCAGAAGAGGACAAAACTTAAAATGGGAGCTCAATGAGGGAATGCTTGTCCTCACACTACCCATACAACCCTGGACTTGTCTTCCACAATTGATGGCTCACCTATCACTCTTCCAAAACAACAAAAACCAAAACACAACACATTTAGCTGCATGCCTACCTTTATATACATGGCAGAATTTGTCACCAATTTATGAATATCATCATACCATGAGATGAGAGTAAACTGGTTTTCGCCCAAACCTCAGAGATTAAACCACTTAACTAGACTCAGCCGCTAATTTTATATCTGCAGTGGGTCCGATTTGATACTAAAAAGGTAGATTGCTGGCCCTTGCTACTGTGACAACAACTCTTGTAAGATTCTAATAATTATAAGACCATTCCCCCACACTCTCATATACCCAGTGTGGACCCTTATCTTCTCCCCTTTGGATCAAATCAAGGACAACGTCATGATTTTTCTAAATTTCACTTTTATATGCTTCCTACAATACCTATCTGCCATCATCAAACCTAGTTTTGGTTAAACCGATTTATTTCATGTTTGTGTTGTTGTTGTTATTGCTTATTAATTTAACCAGAAAACATGAGATGATTGAAGTGTCCTGTATTTTTAGTTTTCACTGCATGGGTTTGCAAATATAGGAGGAAGTAGAATATGTAGAAAGTAGAAGAAGGGAAAGAAAACAGAAGTGACCAACCGGCCGCTTCCACAAGATCTGCGTAATGAGGATTTTGAAATATTCTTATTGTGCTAGGATTGGATATGGAAGAATACGAAACCATAGACATGTTTGACGTTGAAAGGTATGGATTCTTCAATTAATCCATTAGTAATACATGTTCAAGCAGGCATGAGGAGCCTCCACCAACACCATTTCAAAGTAAAGAACTAGAAAGGACAAGCCCACAATGGGTCAGTAACATGTGCACATTTGAGAACATGACAAAGGACAAGGACTCGTGCTTGTCAATCAGACATCGACATAACTCGTTTACATTAATTAGACTACAATTCGAAAACACACCCAAATAAAACATCACGAATTCAAAATTCATCTCAATTTCCTTCTTCTCTTTAAACAATAACCCCCTAATTAATCATATATTTGGACTACGAAGTCCATGCCATCGTTCGTTAAAAGTAAAACCAGTATGAAATGTAAGAGATAAGCTTGAACCATTGTGTTTATGGTTATGAGAAAAACAGCATTACATATAAGGGGAAAGGAAAGGAAAAGGGTTTTGAAGACAATGGCATAAGTTTGCCAGCGTTGAGATGTGAATCGTGTCAAATATTTATGAAGGCGTTGAAACAATGTGCTGTGATGCCTGGCTGTATAGTAATCTGTCCTTTTGGCTAACGTCAAGTACTGATGGAAGTGTGTGTGGCTGTTTAGTTCCATTGAAGACTATGCGTGTAGGGGGCACTTCTACCGTTTTCTTCTCACTCACACATTAACCATTACCCATATCTTCATGTTCCTGCAGAAGCCAAACTTTCGTTATCCTACCAATAAACCATTCCAGTACCTACCAATGTCACCCGGATCAATACATATAATTATATAACTAACTGCTCAAAATATTCAAATTTCCCTCTAATTTACCGATAAAGGAGTCTTATTTTTATGCAAAATTCAATTTTTTTAGTGTATATATGTTTGGTGCTGCTTTTGCCACACACAAACTTCCGTTTGAAACATTCGATGGCATTTTACTATTTCAGATCACGTTTGGAAGTAAAAACTTTTGCCCTTCGTTTCAAATGGCAAACATGAGGTCAAATGTCATTTTAAAGCAAATTTAAAATAGAAAATACTTTGCTTTTAAAATTATTCTACAGTGAAATTTCTGGGACTAAGTTTACAAGTCTAACCATACTCATGAGTTATCTTTTTTCTAAATGATAAACACTTATTTAGCTTTTTGACCTGTATTTTTTCATGATTTTAAATACATTACTAAAGAGATTAAGTATTATTAGTATGTGGAAAACGACCTATTAATTACAATGAGTCAAAATCATTACTCGATATAGATTACGTATATTACTTTATATAGTGGTTTTTAACCGTTATCATATTGTAGACTGTTTTGAACTACAAAGGAAAGACTGTTTTTTTTTCTTTTTTCCATAATAATGTGATGAATTACTTTAAAAGAAAATTGTTGTGATGATATCGCCTTGCATCTGGGCAGACTTGTATACGGGGCATTGTGATTAATTTGTGTAATAGTATAATTGTTACATATATCTATAGATTAACTATAGTGTCGGTTTAGTAACGGTATATAAACTGAAGGAAAGAGTCGAAAAGCTTTTTAGGAGTGGGGGATAAATGAATGTACTAAAAGTGTGTCAACATAGATCCTTTTCAGTTGAGCATATTATTTAGCTGGAGAGATAAAGATATGTGATAAAGAAAAAGATTGGTGGTCACTTTAATGTTAATTGACATTTAGATAGAGAAAGAAAGAAAATTATATTTTCTTTATATAAATCACAAATGTTTTCTATGAAAAGCAACAGTCTTCAAACTAGATAAGATCACTAGAAAGAAAAGTATATAAACATAATAATTAATTGATATGAAATTATAAAAGTATGAGATAAAAAAAAGTATCACGTAATGCCGTATGAAAACAGGAATGAGTTAATTCACGTAATCGAAAAATTCAAAACCAGAAAACATCTATAATCAAATTATTTTTGTTTTTATTAAAAATAGATTTTAGTCAAAAGGTCTAGAATTATATATATATATATATATATATATATATAAAGTTGTTCTAAACTTTCAAAATATCATGTAAAAACATATAGCATATAAATGTGGTAAAGTTATTCTTAAATGAGTTAGCTTTTTAAGTTTAATAAATAAGTTTAAAACGTATTCCTAATATTATATATTATTGATCAATTTATGGCTACTCACCTTGATTAGTCCATCCATGTAGACTAGATAAGATTTATTGCAAAAAAAGGGTTTAAACCTCATAAAATTGAAATAAAACTTGAAAAAAGTACAAATAAGATAAAATTTTCACTTTATAATTTAGTTTTGTATAATGAAATTATATCTAAATATATTTAAAATAATAATATTAAAACTTATTCTAATTATTATTGTAAATCTTATTTTATCACTCACTAAACCATTCACATACAAATATTTAATTTCACATTCAAAATACTTGATATTCAATACTTATATTAATTGAAAATAATGCTAAAATTATATATATACATATATATATATATATATATTATAAATAAAAGTGGCGACATCTCTCATAGTATTTACGAGCTAATAGCTTTTAAGTTAATTTTAAAACTCAATTTCTAAAATTAACAAAATAAAAATCTCCTTTGATTTTTCTTAGGGAATTTTATTCCACAAGTCATCGAATAATAATAAATAGGAAAAAAATATCTTAATAAATATTTGAAATCAAATCACCATGCTATGATTAATTAACAATTGATTAATATAAGAGTTTAAATTTTGTATAATGAGTGCAAAAACTTTTTTTAACTGAGAATCTGTTATATAATTTTAAAAAAAATCAAAGATTTATAAACTAATTTATATGAAATAATCTATAATCACATAATAATATAAATTAAGTTTTACAATTTGAACACTTTAATTAGAGTGAATATATTGAATCAGGTGAATAGTCAGTTGAGCTTGATGTTTCAAATTTTGAGTTGTATGTCATTTCTTCTGTCGTGCTTAGGTAATTAAAAGTTGTTCGTCAAAACAATATTTTCTTAGCTCAGAATAATTTCACACTTATCTCTCGTAAAACACTTCTTTTTATACATGCACACAACACATCCTAACCCTTCAAAAATAGAGAAGTTTGAATTTCATTCAAAAGTAAGTTTACAAACTTTAATCACACATACTCTTAATGAATATTCTTATATGATACTAAAAATCAGATTTTGAGATAAAAGAAGAAGAAGAAGATATATACTAATAATTGCACAGAACTAATGATTGTCACAAGAGATAAACAGTACTACCTGGTGATGTCCTTTGCTTCTTAACAACCGTACCCATTTTCTGGAGGAAAGCTATGTCATATATTCTTCTGATATACCTTTATGTCAGAATTATCCTCAAAAATCCACACCTTCATACCATACGAAATCAATAAATTATTTCAACGTTTATAAATTGTAAACATGTTTTATGACAGATCAAGATATTATTAAAAGCACAACGTTGTTTTAAACGAAAAATTGTTGGGCACTATAATCCCTAATCAAACTCCATGTCTGCAAATTTTTCATATAGCGCATATAACCAAACCTCATGATTGCGAAGAACAAAGACGATGAATCCTTTGAAATATCTTATTCAATCATAGATGTAGAAGATTATTGATGAAGGATGGAAGTGTACCAATCAATAAGAATGGTGAACCACCCGGCATATTAAAGCAACTTTCGTTCCATCAGCATCCATATTTAAGTCAAAGTCCCTTTCTCTGAGTTAGGGCGTCTCTTTCTCCATGTTAACTTCTTAATCAAGACATGCATATATATATATATATATATATATATATC